GTCAGTGTTGGCGGTGTAGATGCAGCTGTCGAATCGCCAAGCGGTCGTCGGTGGAATCTGGTGATGCAGGTGGTTGGTTGAAACCGAAGCTGGAGCTTCAGGCACGCGAAGGAAGGTCTCCACTTCATCTGAACCTGTGACGTGATGATGGAGCCCGAGATGAAGTAGCTGATTACGTAACTTTCGTCAACGGCCACACCGCCGCCACACGGGCCACCAACGCCGCGAAGTTCTAAATCGAGATGCTGCGGTTGAGGTGAGCGACATTGCGCTCATAGCGCGCTGGTTCCAATGCCCTAAATCCTCAAAGGCCAGTATGACCTGTGTGAAAGAATCCCATAGACAGTATGGCATGCCTTGAAAATTAGTATGGTCAGAGTTGTACCTTGAAAGTCCGGCTGTTGTTTGTCCGGGGTGTCCGAAGCCCGACTGACGAACATGCGAGGAAGGCAAGCCCAGCCCTCTGGCAGGCTGCAGCAAAATCACTAGCTCTAGTCGACGGTCGGGCCTCCTGCTGAGGTCGGTATTAGTCGCCTACACCGCAGATCTCACCGTGAAGCACCACTGCCTCTGCAAAGACCCATGCCAAGGGCAGTTATCGAAGACGAACCTGCATCTTGGGAATTTGGGAATTTGGAAGCACAGGACGAACAAGACGGGACGGCCAACTGCTTCGGCCCAAGAGTTGGGAGGTTTCAGTGCTCTGATGCCACAGAGCCGTTCAGAAGCCGACGCACTGACGCGGAATGTTTTCGTGGTCCCCTGCGGCGCATGGCTTCCCCCGAGCATTGTCGTCGTCCTCGTCCTGTCCGTTTGGCTTGCGAGGCTGGTTCGATTCAGAGCTGGCTTGACGTTGGAAGGATGGGCTGCAGCAGACAAAGACGGGGCATTCTACCGTCACCAGCCACTTGGCGCATTCAGGCCCTCTCCTTGCAGCCGTTTGCGGGCCATGCCATACGTCGACGTCACGCCCAGCGACGAGAACGATAGAGGTTGTCGTCAATCGATAGATTGTCAACAGCAGGATGCAGGATGCAGATGCACACCTTAACCGTCGCCGATGCCCGGGAATAAGGCCATGAGTCCCACTGCAGAGCGAACAACAGCGAAGTGCAGGCAGCAGGCCGAATAAAACATGGCGATAGCGATGAGACCGAGACGAAACAGCGTTGCAGGCCGCCCGAGTGCCAAGCTACGGCCCGGGACGGGTATTGACTTAGAGGTACCCGGCCGTAGAGAAGGTTGGCGGTCATCTCGTCGGCCAACCTCTTGCTTTCATGCGGCTTCCACCTCGGTCGATGAAATGAATGTTGCAGCAGCTTTGGGTGAGAGAGGCGCAAAGAGATCCGGTCTACAGCCAAAAGTTGAGCAGAGTTCATCTCCATTACCTGAGCCGGGGAAAGAAGTCTTTGTTATCGACGGGTCTGGATTGGCTGCAGGGCGCACCTGCCGTTGGCTGGCTGCGGAAACTCCCAATCGCAAGCCGCAAACTGCAAATCTGCGAGGTGGAAAGGGAGGTAGGTGCTCCGGCCTATTTTTTTCACTGGCCCCTCCCCCGCCGTTCCCCGGGTCGTCCCTGCCCCTCCACTGCCTTCCCAGCGCTCGCTCTCCTTCCCGCCCGTCCCTTCCCTGCCGCTGCACCACCACCACCACCCTCTTCCTGCTTTTTCAATTTCATTCCATAATTACCGGCGGTCTGGATTCAGGATCTGCCAATCGTACCTACCTATCTGCGTGCATGCCTGCGCAGGATTTTCACTGTTGCTGCCCCCCTGCACCTACCCTGCGCTACGGCTTTTGTCGGCCCACAACTCGACGACGTCGACCCCTCCAAAAACTCCCCGGTTCACATCTCTCCAACGACCACGAAAATTTCGGCTTTTTCTAATCAGCTCCATCGCGGCCCCTCAATGCCCCTCACTGCCCCTCGCATTTGCTACAATTGTTGCTTAATCACGATACTTCCGGGCCCTATTCAATCGCATCAATACGCGGCATACGAGCAACATGGCCGACACTCAAGTGACTTGCAGCCGAGCCGACGACTTCGTCATCGTCTCCAGGCCCAAGAAGGGAACCGCTTTTGTTGAGGCCCGACTTTACGATGGCGTGAGTTCACCTGCCACCGAACGCGCAACCTAGCCATCTACCTGTGAATAGTGCCAATGACACTCTCTAATTGACAGTACAACTACACCGACAAGGGCTGGCAGCAGATTCTTGCACACCTGGAACGCGAATTGAGCCCCGATAAGCTCAACGACGATGCCGTCATCTCCCTTGAAACAGATTTGAGGGACACCTCTCGTGAGTAGAACTCGCCAATGCCTCCCAAATCATACTGACCCATTGTCAGTCTACAAGCACGTGCCTCCGGGCATATTCCAGTCCTTGCGAGTCGTCGACATCCAAGGCCTCGACCCAACAACACGCAAAGTCTCGGCTCGGGATGTTGCCATCAAATTCAACCCTTACAAACTCAGCTCCGAGTTGCCAGCAACATACGACCACGAGCGGATCGCCGTCCTTCCAAACTCCAATCTTGACGGTCTCTGGGAACTGTATGACATCCCTGTCTACCGCTCGGAATATTATTATTGACTCTATCCCTTTCGTAGTTGCTGATTCTGACCATGATCTAGCTCGGTCAAAGACATCCATCTGCGATCGGAGCTTTATCAATGGGTACAGAACTTCGGTGCGTCTCGTCTTGAGCACCTTTCAAACCTTGGCCTCCGCTGACCTTAACCAGCATCTATGACCCATGTTGCAACCCCGCCCGCTTCGAAGCCAGCAGAATCCATTATCCTTATCCTGGGTCCCACTGAATCTGGCAACTCGGATCTGGCCATGGCCATGGCACAGAAGATCTCCATCCAACTTTAGCGCCGGGATAGGCTGATCCATCTGCATGCCCCCGTGCCAGGCATCAACTTCAAGAGCATTGCAGCGAAGGCTATCCAGTCGCGATCAACCATACACATAGTCCTGATTGACAGCATCGAGAGCTACAGCTGGACAAGGAGAGCCACAGTCTCCCCGGAGACCGACACCAAATTTCATGAAATTACCTGCTCGAGTGGTTTCGACACTCTTGCAGCGTTCCCAAACGTCGTGGTTATCTGCACATCGAGAACGGGCAACTTACCAGTCCACAGCCTCCCTGACCCCTCCGGCAAGCCAGTCAGATTGGCATATCTGGCACCCCTGACGTTGCCTCGCCTGCATCTGGCTCAACGTTATGATATTTTGTGCAGCCAATTCCAAGCTTACATGGACGCCGGCGTCATCACCTGCAACGACAAGCTTGACGACTGTCTCGGTGCCATCCACGACCGCGATGATGGGAAGTATACTCCAAGCATCCAAATTCTCGAGCTTGCAGAGCACATCGGGGACAACATAAGCGCCCGACTCGGGGGGCAAATAGTCATCCTGGCTTTGATGACCGACCTCAAGGAAGATACATGTGACATGGCCACTGCGGTGGGTGTCGTCTCGAGGTATCATACGCTTCTTGGTGCCGAAAGAACAACTACTGCTAACTAAGGTAAGGTGGTGTCCGGGCTTGCGTCGTGGACAGGTGAGGTTGACTAATGCATATGGGCAGGCTCCATCGAAGACAAAACTCAGGCGGCCGCAAAAGCCTCTGCCGAAGTCAAGCGAGCAGGGACGGAGACCAAAGAAAGGCCAGGTACTGCTGCAAGTAACCGAAGGGCCTTCTGTAATCAATCTGGGTTGCTTTGTCGACGTGGGCGAGGAGTCATCAGTCGCTGCGAGTCGACAGTGACAGTCAGTGCTGAGTAGAGGTTATTTCTGTTCCTCGGCGAGCGGTCCCTTCAATCCCCATGGTTGAAGACTCGGCGTTAGACGCCTATGAGTTCAGGAATATTGCATAGTTATGGCAGGTTCTGGCAGGGGTTCATTGGTGTGCGCCCAAGGTTGAGGCGCCACGATGACGGGTGTTTAAAGAGCATCGGATTGCTTCACCGCAAGGGCGGGTGATTAAAGTACATTTTTAATTACATGAATGATATCACAACTGTTCCTCGTGATGAAAAGAGGGGAGAACATTCTTCAGCTGTGCGCCTCTCAAAATGTAGTCAAAAACGATAGGCCTGTCAAGTGCGCTACTTGTAGCCCTAAGTCGGGCTCTCCACATCAACATTAAGACATCCATTCGTGTCCTTCGCCCTGATGGTCTAGCGGTATGATTCTCCCTTAGGGCTTAACAACCCACATCTGGGAGAGGTCCCAGGTTCGATCCCTGGTTAGGGCCTAATTCTTTTGCTTTTCGAATCAGTTGAGCTCCTTTTTGCACGAGAATATGCTGTGTGCATCCGCTGCTGTTGGTTTCCCTCTCAGTAAACCATTATATTATGTGCTGTTGCCTAGTATTTTCAGAAAAGCATGCTGAATGCAGTTGCTCGACAGGTTTTGATGTTACCGTATCTCGCTTTGTTTTGCTTACCGGCGGGCATGTCTAACACCTAGCGATTGTAGGTCCTAATGACATCTCAATACCGGCTAACGTGTTCTCATACGACAAATTATCCGGTCTCTTTTCTATCTTCGCTGACGAACATCATCAGCCTATCGGAAGAGGAGCTGTAGAAACCGGATGATCTGAGGGTCTACTCCGCAGGATATGCTGCTCGTTAACATGCGGCCAAGATGCTTTGCCAGCCTGATTGCATTTGCTATCGATGAGTCAGATGGCCTCATCTCACAGGTGACGGACAGGTAATTCCATACATCACCTCGATAGACAGAATCTTTTGGCCCAAGCAACTAACTGTGTCCTCGCGCATTTTTCCCTTTCCACTTCTTTGGACAGAATTCATACCGCCGAAGGAGGTGCTAGTTTAACAAACTGCTCAAGAACACGGGTGGGGTGTCATTCGAAAGGCGTTGCGCAAGGGGAAGAATCAACCCTGAGCGGATCAACCCGGGAATAGAGTGGTGCGAAGGTAGTAGAGTGCGTGTTTGTTTTCTCAGGGCTATTGGAGTGGCAATGTCGTCACTTGGGCACATGATCGATGTTGGATTTCGCGAGCCAGCTGCATTGGGGTGTCGTTGGAGACCGAGATTGTACTGGGGTCACATGGGGAGTTGCGACCTGCTTTCAAGATTATTCTATTCAGACTGAAAGGTTTGCCGAAACTAGTCTTGTATTTCCTTCCCGGATACTGGTTATTTGCAATCCCCACTGGGTACGTTGCTGGTGATGTTCGGCGGTATATCGATAGAGCATTCTCCCAGGTCGTTACAAGTTCCTTTGCCGTCAAAGCCATCGATTTGCGCGGTACAAGGCTTTCCTGCCTTGCTCGCTATACATCACTCAAGAGTCAGCCAGGCTTCGTTTACCAGGCACTCCCAGAGCTGTTGAACTTGCCTTGGAAGGCACTAATTTGATCAATATAATTGGGCAGTGAAAAGTATTCAAATAAAGCTGAGTGATTGTGAGAGTCAAATTGCTGTGCTGGTGGCAAGTTCGTGCTGTTTATATACCAGCTCTGGCTGCTAGGTGGCCTTGAGAGGGCTCCTAGCCATTCCTGGGCGACTCATTCTTTGACGAGAAATTTCCCTTGAGCTTCGACGAGTTGAGAAAGATGTTGAAACAGTCCTCTCAGACGTGTTCCTCGGGTAGTCGGTGAGGTCCGAGTCTTGAGTAGGTAGTGTGACATGATGGACCAATCAGCCAGACAACTCCTGGAGTTCAGATGACAGCTGTCAATCAAATTCGACAGACGACGAAGTTTTCAATCTTGCATTTCTGGGCCGGTTTGAGAGTAGCCATTGCAGCGATAAATGACACAGAATCAACGATGCACCTCATGGAGACAAATTCTGAACGTTGTTTAGTAAATAGCTTTTACGTTGCCGAGCCTCATGTCCGTTAGTTGGCTTCATGAGTATGCACCTTGACGCATGGATACTATTGGCCAATATGCGCAAATGTACTCACGAGGCATGATTCACAAACAATATTTCTGATATCTCTGCTTGCTGATGTGCATGAAAGCTGGCCAGCCACCAAAGAGTCTCATGTACGCCAAGAAGTGATATTGCTGACGGTGGTCTGACTACTGCACCCTCAGCCCAAGGGCTAATCCTTGCAACCACATCATGGTCAAAACTGAGCCCTATCCCCGGACTCGTTTGATCAACGTTCCATGTTCAATATACACCTCTCTGCAACTACGTTCGGAATGCAATAAAGGTCTGAAGTCTACAATCTTTCATTCACACGCGACTATCTTTTAGGAAGTTTCCTTCTTGGGGCATCCGAGACATCACGGCCGAAAGTTCCTTCGCTGACCTTCCAACATTGCCAACGTCTTCCGAACGAGACATGGAAACCAGCGACCATGAAACTACTGTTGATTCCTTCGTCAGCAGCATAGAACATGTGAACTCTTCATCTTTCAGCAACGAGGGCGGTCGGATGAAAGCTCTCTTAGCAGCACAGGCTCTGTTGGTCCGACTCGAGTCGCCGTGGGACACGGCTGTGAGACTCAACATGACTCAAGTAGGCCCCTCGATTCCAGGCCAAATTTTGTGATATATACGCCTAACGACTGCTCTTATTACAGCCGGCTCTTGGTGCTGCTATAAGAACGGTGAAGGATCTGGAGTTATTCGAGAGATGGAACGAGCACGGAAACGGACCGCTTACAAGCGCACAAGCGGCGGAGATTATCGGAGGCAAATGCGATCCTGCGTTGCTTTGTGAGTTTGAACTTGCCTAAATTCTTTTTGCCGCGCTTATCAACAAAATCAGACCGGCTTCTCCGTCTCCTGGCAGCAAACCATCTTCTAGAAGAGGTATCACTTGGCACATTCAAGCCTACGCAATTTGGCGTTGCTATCACAGCACCTGTGTTCAATGGGCTCTTCAGTAGTTAGTATGTTCGAAGAATGCCGCATGCGTGAAAGTTTCTGGACTGAACAAACCCTCAGCTACAACTTCATCCTGCCAATCTACGCAAAACTACCAAAGTTCTTCGAAGCAACCGGGTACAAGAATCCTAAAGACCCTAGACACTCGGGATTTCAATACGCCCATGGATGGGATGGAGACCTTTGGTCCTACTATCAAGCTCATCCCAAGGAGGAGGAAGAGTTCAGCATCATACAACAAAGCATTTCGGCGCAACAGCCTGCGTGGACAGATATCTACCCTGCAGAATCGCTTCTCGACACAAGCCCTGACGCACCATTGCTAGTTGACATCGGGGGTAGCATTGGCCACGACATTCTGAAGTTCCACGCCCTTTATCCCGAGAAAGCTTCACGACTGTACCTGGAGGACTTGGGATCCGTGATAGAAAAGGCGAAACTTCCATCTGGCGTTAACAAGGTGGCTTACGATTTCTTTAAGCCGCAGCCCATCAAAGGTTTGTCTCGTTATTGCTTTAGTAGGTATACCTAGGTTAACCGGCTGTTAGGTGCACGAGCATACTTGATGCACTCCATACTTCATGATTGGTCTGATGATCCGGCTCGGAAGATACTTGAGATGCAAAAGGATGCGATGACTCCAGGATACAGCCGGTTACTCATACACGAACACATAGACGTGGAAGGCCCTGCATACCCTCAGGCTACCGCTTTCGACATTCAAATGATGGCTATGGTATCAGGAAGGGAGAGATCCGAGAAGGATTGGCGGCAGCTTCTCGCATCAGTTGGATTCAGTGTGGTGAGGATTTGGAAATTGCCTTCGGCGGCGCATAGCATCATTGAGGTTGAAGTATTACCGGTCTAGGCAAGTACGCCCCAAGACGGGAAGTTAAATGGTGCAAAAGGCGTCAAGAAGACTTCGAAACTCGATAGGGACAGTTTTTCTACATGAAACCTAATATTACAAAACGCATCGTTCAAGTATGTCGAAAAGCATTCCGTACTCATCTGCCGAACTCAGATGTCGCTTAAGCCGCGAGTCTGGGTACGAGCACTCTCTACAATTCCATCGGCAGTTCGAAGCTTCTCAATTACCTCGTCGAGATCATTTCGCTGTTGGACGATGTGTTCATCCTCCCGAGCCAGCTTCTCAACCTCTTCTTCCGTCAATGTGAACATCCATTTTGTTGAAAGACCCCTAAGAGGTCCTGTCTCGTGAGAAATAAAGCTCTCGGTAATATTACTAGTAACATGCTCAATGAAGTTACCCAGCGATATCTATCAATCAACGAGAGTTAGTTGATGCCTTTGTGATCGGGGATGGAGGCATACCTCGTAATACACCTTGACAACATCATGGACGTCATTGACCATGTTTTCTTCCGCAGAATGGTGGAAAAGGTGAAATATGGCAGCCCAATGATCCTCGGCGGAATGATACCCTTGTGTGGGCGGATATGAAACGATAGCCTTCATCAGCCGAAGACTGCGGAAAGCCTGGAGTTTCTGCTGGAACCTCACATCCGTGGTCTGCAAATGGGACTCTCTCTCGCGCCGGCAGTGCTCTCTCAACTCTGCAAGAGCCCTTTCTTTCGTTTGTCGCTGAAATTGAGCAATGACCGCCGAGAGCTCTTTCTGAATGATTTCACAGCCACTGCTTGAGCAGACCTGCCGAAGGATCTTGTCGGCTGCGTGCTCGACATACCTGCCGACCTCATTGATATGCTCCTCTGCAATGCGCTCCCACAACTCTGATTGTTTCATGAATAAGACCCGGATAACCTCAGTGTTGATGAGACCAGGAAGCTCAGTTGTCTGCCAGATTTTGAGCTGAGATTGGATTTCTTTCGCAAAGGACGCTGCCGTTTCATCTTTCACGCCTTTCGCTTGTCCCACACGCCCTTTCCTTGGAGGTGTGGTGGGAGGAGTAACCGTGGGATCTGATTGCTGAGGTGGAACGGGTGGATAGTTGGTTGACATCTTATTGGCAAGCTCCTTTATAGGATCGATGTCAGGGTCTTCGAAGTCGAAGGTGTGGCCTCCCTCTTTCATTGCCTGGGTAAAGCTCTCATTGGCGCTGCGAGTCAAGGCTCTCACTCTCATGGTCTCATCGTCGAGGAACCCGGGAAAGTAGAGTGCCCTGTTTGTGATTTTGCAATACTTTTGAAGAATGTCTCTCAGGTATTGTTGGCGCAGATTGTGTGTTGGCCTCGGGTCTCCAAGGCTCTTCCTGGAGACCTCGGCTGTCGAAAGGAGCCTTGATATCGTATCTCGAATGGTAGGGAAGTTGTCTCGAATGCGAGCGCAAAGAAGGTTTCCGAGGTGTCTCTTCAGCATTTGAGAGCCGCGACGATTTGGGCTTATCTTGTTCCAAGGAGGCTGGTCAAATAGTTGGCTTTCAGCTTCTTGGAGATTGAAGTCGTCGCCATCCTTCGCCGATCGATTTCTCACAACAAACCAGCCATCCTGCATGGACTTGTCGGCGTATTCGCCAGTACCATTGGCGATGTCGACAATCTGACAAAGCGTGAATAAAGGAGCTCCGGATTCTGTGGGTTTGTGAAGATATTTACCTCGTCTGCATCGTGCAACATGTCGCACTTTGTGAAAACCCCGACGAGCCGTTTTTTCTCTACCACAGCAGTCTTCATGAAGATCTCTTGCCGTGCTAAATCTGTTACCGCGTCGGCCACACAGCTTCCAAACAGTTACTAGAGGGTCTCATACGACGGGGGAAATGGAACTTACATAACAATGTTGGCAGGCTGTTTCATGTAATCATCAATCATCTTGTTCACTGCCTTCATCTCGTACTCGTTCACGGCAACGGCATTTGATATAAGTCCGGGCACATCGAGAATACTGAAATGGGATCGGGAAGGCCCTGAAAGCTCGATGCGAAGAACCTGAGTGGCAAAGTTCTTCTTTCCTTTGCCTTTTCCGCGTCGAATTCCCATGTATTGGGTTGAGATCTGGAACAAAATTAGCTTCGCCGAATATCTTGTTCTCGAGTACCGCGACACTTACCTCATCCATGACCCTTTTGAAGTCATCGACTCCAAGGCGGTCAGTCGTGTAGACATAGTCCCTGTAGGAGGGGTCTTCAGGATATCCAAAACGGTCAGGAACCTCGGGCTCGGCAATGGTGATCCTGACCGTGCTGACAGTATCGGGAGCCGTCCTGCGGGAGACGATCCTCGTTGCAAAGCGAGTACAGCAACCCGTACCCACTGGGAAGGGTATATCTGTCAGACTCTGCAGTAGTGACGACTTCCCTGCCGATTGGCCGCCAGCAATGATAAGCTATGATAGCCGTGATCAGTGATGCTTGAACCTAGACGATTGGACGATGGGCGATCGAATACCTGAGGAATCGCAAGTTCCTGGC